CATGGAGGTGCACAGATCTCCCAACACAAGGGACCCAAGGAAGACAACACCAAGACATATAATAATTAAAATGGCAGAGATCAAGGATAAGGACTGACTATTAAAAGCAGCTAGAGAGAGAAATAAGATCACATACAAAGGAAAGCCCATCAGCTATCATCAGACTTCGCAGCAGAAACCTTACAGGTCAGAAGGGAGTGGCATGATGTATTTAATGCAATGAAACAGAAGAGCCTCAAACCAAGAATATTCTACCCAGCAAGATTTTCATTTTCATTTGAAGGAGGGATTAAACAATTTCCAGATAAGCAAAAGCTGGGAGAATTTACCTCCCACAAACTGTCTCTACAGTATGTATTGGAGGGACTGCTATAGAAGGAAGTGTTCCTAAAGCTAAACAGCTGTCACCAGAGGTAATAAAACCACAGTAAAGAAAGTAGAACAATTAATTACTGAGCACAAACAAAATTAAATCAACTACCCCAAAGTCAGTCAAGGGATAGACATAGAGTACAGAATGTGATACCTAATACATAAAGGAATGGAGGAAGAAAAAGGAGGAGAAAAAAAAAGAATCTTTATATTCTGTTTGTAATAACATACTAAGTGAGTTGTTAGACTCTTAGATAGTAAGAAAGTTAACCTTGAACCTTTGGTAACCACGAATCTAAAGCCTCCAGTGGCAATAAGTACATACCTATCAATAATCACCCTAAATGTAAATGGTCTGAATGCACCAATCAAAAGACACAGAGTCACTGAATGGATTAAAAAACAAGACCCGTCTATATGCTGCCTACAAGAGACTCATTTCAAACCCAAAGACATACACAGACTAAAAGTGAAGGGACGGAAAAACATATTTCATGCAGCTAATAGGGATAAAAATACAGGAGTTGCAGTACTTGTATCAGACAAAATAGACTTCAAAACAAAGAAAGTAACAAGAGACAAAGAAGGACATTACATAATCACAAAGCAGTCAATCCAACAAGAGAATATAACCATTATAAATTTCTATGCACCCAACACAGAAACACCTACATATGTGAAACAAATACTAACAGAATTAAAAGGGGAAATAGAATGTAATGCATTCATTCTAGGAGACTACAACACTCCATTCACTCCAAAGGACAGATCAACCAGACAGAATATAAATAAGGAGACAGAGGCACTGAAAAACACATTAGAACAGATGGACCTAACAGACATCTACAGAACACACCACTCAAAAGCAGCAGGATACACCTTATTCTCAAGTACACATGGAACATTTTCAAGAATAGATCATATACTAGGCCACAAAAAGAGCTGCAGTAAATTCAAAAAGATTGAAATTGTACCAACCAGCTTCTCAGATCACAAAGGTATGAAACTAGAAATAAATTACACAAAGAAAATGAAAAAGCCCACAAACACATGGAGGCTTCACAACATGTTCCTAAATAACCAATGGATCAATGACCACATAAAAACAGAGATCAAGCAATATATGGAGACAAATGACAACAATAACTCAATACTGCAAAATCTGTGGGATGCAGCAAATGCCATGCTAAGCGGGAAGTATATTGCAATACAGGCCCACCTCAGGAAAGAAGAACAATCCCATATGAACAGTCTAAACTCACAATTAATAAAACTAGAGAAAGAAGAATAAATGAGGTCCAAAGTCAGAGAAGGAGGGACATAATAAAAATTAGAGCAGAAATAAAAACAATTGAGAAGAATAAAACAATAGAAAGAATCAATAAAAGCAAGAGGTGGTTCTTTGAGAAAATAACAAAATAGATAAGCCCCTAGCTAGACTTATCAAGAAAAAAAGAGTCTACACACAGAAACAGAATCAGAAATGAAAAAGGAAAAATCACTACGGACACCACAGAAATACAAAGAATTACTAGAGAATACTATGAAAAATTATATGCTTACAAACTGGATAACTTAGAAGAAACAGACAACTTTCTATAAAAATACAACCTTCCAAGGCTGACCCAGGAAGAAACAGAAAATCTGAACAGACCAATTATCAGCAACAAAATTGAATTGGTAATCAAAAAACTACCTAAGAACAAAGCCACTGGACTAGATGGCTTCACCACTGAATTTTATCAAATATTCAGTGAAGACCTAATACCCATCCTCCTTAAAGTTTTCCAGAAAGTAGTAGAATAGGGAATACTTCCAAACTCATTCTATGAGGCTGGCATCACTCTAATACCAAAACCAAAGACACCACAAAAAAAAGAAAATTACAGACCAATATCCCTGATGAACACACATGCAAAACTACTTAACAAAATATTAGCAAACCGAATTCAAAAATACATCAAAAAGATCATCCATTATGATCAAGTGGGATTTATACCAGGGACACAAGGATGATACAATATTAGAAAATCCATCAACATCATCCACCATATCAAAAAGGATAAAAATGACATGATCATCTCCAGAGATGCTGAAAAAGCATTTGACAAAATTCAACATCTATTCATGATAAAAACTCTCAACTTAATGGGTATAGAGGGCAGGTACCTCAACATAATGAAGGCCATATTTGTAAAACCTGTAGTCAGCATCATACTTAACAGCGAGAAGCTGGAAGCTTTTCCTTTAAGATCAGGAACAAGACAAGGATGCCCACTCTCCCCACTTTTATTCAACATAGTACTGGAGGTCCTAGCCTCAACAATGAGACAACACAAAAAAATACAAGACATCTAGATTGGTAAAGAAGAAGTTAAACTGTCATTGTTTGCAATGACATGATATTGTACATAAAAAACACTAAAGAATCCACTCCGAAACTACTAGATCTAATATCTGAATTCAGCAAAGTTGCAGGATACAAAATTAACACACAGAAATCTGTTGCATTCTTACACACTAATGATGAACTAGCAGAAAGAGAAATCAGGAAAACAATTCCATTCACAATTGCATCAAAAAGAATAAAATACCTAGGAATAAACCTAACCAAGGAAGTGAAAGACCTATACCCTGAAAACTACAAGACACTCATGAAAGAAATTAAGGAAGATACCAATAAATGGAAACACATTGCATGTTCATGGATAGGAAGAATTAATATTGTCAAAATGGCCACAGATTCAATGCAATCCCTATCAAAATACCAACAGCATTCTTCAATGAATAGAGCAAATAGTACTAAATTCGTGTGAACCACAAAAGACCCCGAATAGCCAAAGCAATCATTAGAAGGAAGATTAAAGCAGGGGGGATTAAGCTCTCAACTTCAAGCTCTAGTACAAAGCCACAGTAATCAAGATAATTTGGTACTGGCACAAGAACAGACCCATAGACCAATGAAACAGACTAGAGAGCCCAGATATAAACCCAACCATATATGGTCAATTAATATATGATAAAGGAGCCATGGACATACGATGGGGAAATGACAGCCTCTTCAACAGCTGGTGTTGGCAAAACTGGAACAGCTACATGCAAGAGAATGAAACTGGATCACTGTCTAACCCCATACACAAAAGTAAACTCCAAATGGATCAAAGACATGAGTGTAAGTCATGAAACTATTTAACTCTTAGAAGGAAACACAGGCAAAACTCTCTTGAATATAAACATGAGCAACTTCTTCATGAACATATCTCCCCAGGCATGGGAAACAAAAGCAAAAATGAACAAATGGGACTATATCAAACTAAAAAGCTTCTGTACAGAAAAGGACATCATCAGTAGAACAAAAAGACATACTACAGTATAGGAGAATATATTCATAAATGACAGATCCGATAAGGGGTTGACATCCAAAATATATAAAGAGCTCACACACCTCAAGAAACAAAAATTAAATAAGCCAATTAAAAAATGGGCAGAGGAGATGAACAGACAGTTCTCCAAAGAAGAAATTCAGATGGCCAACAGACACATGAAAAGATGCTCCACATTGCTAATCATCAGAGAAATGCAAATTAAAACCACAATGAGATATCACCTCACACCAGTTAGGATGGACAACATCCAAAAGACAAGGAACAACAAATGTTGGCGAGGTTGTGGAGAAAGGGGAACCCTCCTACACTGCTGGTGGGAATGTAAATTAGTTCAACCATTGTGGAAAGCAGTATGGAGGTGCATCAAAATGCTCAAAACAGACCTACCATTTGACCCAGGAATTCCACTCCTAGGAATTTACCCTAAGAACGCAGCAATCAAGTTTGAGAAAGACAGATGCACTCCTATGTTTATCGCAGCACTATTTACAATAGCCAAGAATTGGAAGCAACCTAAATGTCCATCTGTAGATGAATGGATAAAGAAGATGTGGTACATATACACAATGGAATACTACTCAGCCATAAGAAGTGGAAAAATCCAACCATTTGCAGCAACATGGATGGAGCTGGAGAGTATTATGCTCAGTGAAATAAGCCAAGCGGAGAAAGAGAAATACCAAATGATTTCACTCATCTGAGGAGTATAGGAACAAAGGAAAAACTGAAGGAACAAAACAGCAGCAGAATCACAGAACCCAAGAATGGACTAACAGTTACCAAAGGGAAAGGGACTGGGGAGGGTGGGTGGGAAGGGAGGGAGAAGGGGAAGAAGAGGCATTATGATTGACACAAATAATATGTGGGGGGGGCACAGGGAAGGCAGTACAACATGGAGAAGACAACTAGTTACTCTATAGCATCTTACTACGCTGATGGACAGTAACTGTAATATTGTATTTGGTGGGGACTTTATAATGGGGGAATCTAATAATGATACCAAAATAAAAATAAATAAATAAAGTATAAAAATAATGAAAAAAAGTGAAGTTAATGTTTCTAAAAATCCTTATGTCTGGGAAGATAGAAACATTTTGATTAACTCTAAACTTTGGTGAGTTAAGTGTATTAAAGTTGTAGTAAGAGATAGAAAAGAATATTTTATCAAAACAGAATAAATTAAATGAAAAAACTACAGGAAGATAAGAGAGATTTAAAAAAATAGGCAAGACAAATACAAAGCAGGATATAAGATGTTATATTTAAACCCAACTATAATTTAATTACATCAATATAAATGGAATAAATTCTCAATTTATAAAATAAAGTTTGTCAGATTATATTTTTAAAAAGTCAGACTACTGCCATTACCAGACATAAAGTTAAAATGTAAAGGTTTGGAGCAAAGAATGGAAACTTATATGCAATGCACATAGTAACTGGAATCCAGGGTAAGCCTATCAATCAACAGGGTAGATATGAGCTCCGATTTGGAAGGCTGAGGGAAAGAATCTCCATTTTGTTACTTGCACATGTCGTTAGCGAATCACTTCATTCTACAGAAATAAGGATTATTTGGAGAAGTAGGAACAATTATGTGCAAACAAATAGGATAGCCTAGATGAAATGGACAAACAGTGACACTTGGAACATGAAGCCATTTGGAGGTGTTTTATGCCAGCTTCTCAAGTAGGACCTGTTGAGCCAAATATTAGACTTTAAGAAAAAGGCTTGTCACAAGCTCACCACAAACAGGACAAATGCAGCTGAAGCCATTGGGTCATTTAGTCTCAGCTAATTAAGTGTCCTTGAGTACAGCAGTTTATTTCTGGATGAAGACGCAGGGAGCTGTGCTCAGTCCACTGTATCTGCAGAGATCATAGCAGGGGCTCCTGGGAGCCTGTGCCCCAAGTCCATTCCCTAGAGGTTCAGTGGCTCAGGGGCTGCTGCAGTCATGGGTGGCTCGTCAGGCATCTCCTTCCAGAAGTTTCTATATCTGACCTGTAAGTGTGAGGGAGAAGAAACCCCACGTTGATGACATCACCCAGGTTCATTAATTCCTATCGCAACCCCTAATGTCACACAGCAGAGGATGGAGTCTCTCGACAACATGCTCAATGTGAGCATTTCAGCACTGACTGTCCCAGGAATGGACACTGGGTGAACTTGCAGGTCATTGGAGTTTATGCCATAACACACATTCATCACCACTGATGGGTGCTTTAGACCTAGAAACTTTTTAAAGTCAGGTCAGGCTAGTGTTTGAACAGCAACCTGACATTGCTTCTACCAAAGGAACACAATTGCTCAGATGTTCTTATCAATATTTACTGGAATGAACCCCTCTCCTTGGTCATTTCCTTCCCACTCTCCTTGTCCTCTGACAAATTCCTAACCACCTTCTAACACTGATGGGGCTGGAACATCTTGTTCTTCCCCTGGGAAGCATTCCTGGACCCGACTCTTCCGCCCAGCCCATCCCTTGACAAGAGTATCAAGACAATTCAATGGGGAAAGAACAGTCTGTTCAACTAGAGTGGCTGGGATAACTGACAGCCGCGTGCAAAAGAATGAGGTTGGAGCCCTGCCAAATATCACACACATAGCTCTCAGTGTATCACACCCCACACCTAACAGCTAAACCCACAAAACTCTTAGAAGAAAACATACGAGTCAATCTCTATGATCATGGGTTTGGCAACGATTTCTTAGATGTGACACCAAAAGGACAAGCAACAAAAGAAAAAAGTAAATTTAAAACTTCTGTGTTTCAAAGGACACTATCATGAAAATGAAGACAGCCCATAAAATGGGATAAAATTTTTGCAAATCATGTATCTAATATGGGACTTGTATCTAGAATGTATAACAAGTCCTACAACTCAATAATAAAAAGACAGATAACCCAATTTAAAATGGGCAAAGGATCTGAGCAGACATTTCTCAAAAATGATATATAGGTGGACCCTAATTAGTCATATGAAAGGATGCTCAACATCATTAGGCATCAATGAAATGCAAATCAAAACCACAATGAACTATCACTTCATACCACTAGGATGGCTATCATCACAAAGTCAGATAATACAAAATGTTGATGAGGATATGGAGATACTGGAATCTTCATACATTACTAGTGGGAATGTAAAACACAGCAACCACTTTGGAAGAATCATTTACATTCAAAGTGCTAGTTAGGCCAATGGATTTTACTTTAACAGAGCAAATGAGTTTCATAAATTCATCAAGATGGTTTCAAAATCCACACTGTAACTAATCTTTAATAAACTACCACCTGTTCAGTTTTAGTGTGTATCCAAGAAGAATATCCACAATTATACTAAAATATAAACATGAGCAACTTTTTTTCTGAATACATCTCCTCGGACAAGGGAAACAAAAGCAAAAATATGAACAAATGGGACTACATCAAACTAAAAAGCTTCTGTACAGCAAAGGACACCATCAGTAGAACAAAAAGGCATCCTACAGTATGGGAGAATATATTTATAAATGACAGATCTGATAAAGGGTTGACATCCAAAATATATAAAGAGCTCACACGCCTCAACAAACAAAAAGCAAATAACTCGATTAAAACATGGGCAGAGTATATGAACAGACACTTCTCCAAAGAAGAAATTCAGATGGCCAACAGGAACATGAAAAGATGCTCCATATCATTAATTATCAGGGAAATGCAAATTAAAACCACAGTGAGATATCACCTCATACCAGTTAGGATGGACAACATCCAAAAGACAAGGACCAACAAATGCTGGCGAGGATGCGGAGAAAGGGGAACCCTCCTACACTGCTGGTGGGAATGTAAATTAGTTCAACCATTGTGGAAAGCAATATGGAGGTTCCTCAAAAAACTAAAAATACTAATACCATTTAACCCAGGAATTCCACTCCTAGGAATTTACTCAAATAAAATAACCTCTCAGATTCAAAAAGACAGATGCACCCCTATGTTTATCGCAGCACTATTTACCATAGCCAAGAAATGGAAGCAACCTAAGTGTCCATCAGTAGATGAATGGATAAAGAAGATGTGGTACATATACACAATGGAATATTATTCACCCATAAGAGGAAAACAAATGCTACCATTTGCAATAACATGGATGGAGGTAGAGGGTATTATGCTCAGTGAAATAAGCCAGGCAGAGAAAGACAAGTGCCAAATGATTTCCCTCATTTGTGGAGTATAAGAACAAAGCAAAACTGAAGAAACAAAACAGCAGCAGACTCACAGAACCCAAGGAGGAACTAGCGGTTGCCAAAGGGGAGGGATGGGGGAGGATGGGTGAGGAGGGGCAGGAGAAGGGGATTGAGGGGTATTATGACTGGCACACATGGTGTGTGTGTGGGTTCATGGGGAAGACAGTGTAGCACAGAGAAGACAAGTAGTGACTAGCATATTACTACACTGATGGACAGTGAATGCAGTGGGGTGTGGGGGGGACTTGATAATATGGGCGAATGTAGTAACCACAGTGTTGCTCATGTGACACCTTCATAAGAGTGTATATCAATGATACCTGAATAATACATAAATAAATAAATAAACTAGCACCTGTCCAGTTTTGGTGTGGTATCCAAGAAGAATATCCACAATTATGCTAAAAAGGCATCAAACTCCATCCTTTTTCAGCTGTAATCTAGGAGAGACTGGACATTCCTTACATACTTCCCCTGAAACAATACATCATGGCAGACTGAACACAGAAGCAGATATGAGAATCTCTCATAGTAAGTCAAAGATATTTGCAAACATGTAACACAATGACACCCATATCATTAAGTCTATTGTTTCAGAAAACACTTTTTTTCACTCAAAAATTAATATTAATGTTAACATGTTATGGGTTTATTTTCATTATTTAAAAATAAATGAATGTTTCTAAATGAATATTATTTGTATATAAATACTATTCATTTACAAATGTATTCATATGTTAATAATATGTTATCATATACTTTGCTTATAATTAATGAATACTAGTTTTCTATTTTGGTGAATTACTATTATTTTTAGCAAATTAATATTGTAAATGGATATAACTCCAGGGGGAAAATGTGTTTCCAGCCCGGGGCAAATAAATCAGGGCAACCTGTGAAGCCGAAATAAGTCAAAGGGAGAAATAAAGTGGGAGAAACCCATCTATTGCTTACAAGAAGTCATCTGTTCCTGCTCCCCAGTGTCTGTCCCTGTCCTGGCCGGACTAAGGGAGAACAGCTTCCCCGCCCCTTGTAAACACGTATCGATAAGGAGACGGACCAAGGCCAGGCAAGAGGTGCTGGAAATATTGCCGTTGCACCCACAGGGATTAAGAAATATTTCTCAGTTTTAATTTCTAATATGGAACTGATGTAGAATAGGGACATAGGATAAGCATCATGATTAATTTTTCCTGCCTATGATTAAAAAATGCTGAAATATAAATAGTATAGTAAGAACCGGAGGGACTCCATCTTAAGGCTAATAGTCTACTTTAAAAACCAAGGAGTAAAAGGTAAGATTCCTAACACATTTTACAGAAATCGGCCAACAACTGACTGTGTATCCTAAGGCAGGGTGAGCAGTCCTAAATGATAGGTCCCCACTGTTTGAGGGTAACCACCATCTTGGGGAACAGGATCACTGAATTCCTTGTGTTAAGTTTATCTGGCAGAATATTTAGAGGACTGACTATGTGAAATGACATGATGTCTCTCACTGGAGATAAACATCAGGAGACCACATGTCCAGCCTTCCCAGCCCCTCGGCCTTTTGCCCCATTCTTGAAAGCCTTACAAGACAGAATCCTAAACCCTCAGATGCGCCTCCTCTGTGAGGCTGCCCTCACTCCCCTTTCTTTGAGTGCATTTTGCCTCAAATAAAGCCTTCTTACTGCTCAACTTACTGAGTTTTGTCTCTGCACTCTTCAGCGGCGAGAGTCATTGTTACTTTGCTATTTCATTCTATTTTCTAGACGTAAGCACGAGTCTTCACTCTGTGTCCTGCTTCAGACAAGTAGGGAGGGGCTGCTGAGAACTCTGATTTGGGCTTGCAAGTTACCATTGCCTGGGGGGCCCGGATGGGTTGGCACCTGTATGATCATGCTCTTTAGCAGCCTGCCCGAAAATCTCCTTTCTTTGCTTTGGGAAGTTCTCAGAACATCCAGTGCTCTGTGGCTTCCCCAAATCCTGGGATGGTGGGGCCTTAGTTCCCATGCTGTGCAGATTCAAGTGGGCCCTGGATGCCAGGGGAGCCTGGCTTCAGGGACTGGCAAGGGACCTGCCCTGTGCTGAGCAGGAACTCAGTGAGCTTCCCTCCCCCGCCTCTGCTCTTCCTTGCCTTCGGCGGCTTGCATGGTTGCTGCCATTTGCTGTTACTCTCACTTTAATGATTTCATTCCTGATTTAATGATACACTCATCACACCTGGTCAAGAATTCTTTCTCCATCAAAGTCAAGAACCCTCCCCCGCCCAGGTTGAGGTTTTACCTAGGGCTCAGGGAAAGCCCTCCCCAGATGCAGCTGCCCAACAATAGAACTATTAATAGATATCACCACAAAAGTTAGGTTTTTGGCTCAATAATAATCAAGAGTAAAGAGGTCCTGAGACCAAAATATTCGAGAACTGCTGGCCTGGATACAGTGTCTCCAGGCAGGTGATACCATGTCCACTTACAGCAACTGGACTCACGTTCCGGCTATACCTCTCAGCCTGGTTCCCCAGAGACCCCCAAGCCTCTGCCCCAGCCACCCCACCAAGGCCTGGACCCTGCCTTACCGCCATGTCTTGGAGGAGTGGCCTGGAGCCTTGAACCTCTGGTCATTGTCAAGAGCCAGGGCAAACAGCAGCAGCACCAGCAGCTTCTCTTGACTTCAATGTCCTCCAAGTCCATGGAGCTGCATGGCTGGTCCTGCATGCTAGGGCTGCTGGGAGTGGGAAGAGAGTTTCCATGCACCTGTGAGCACCTGGTCTGTGCACATGTGAGCCCTGGGTCTGTGCACCTGTGAACCCTGGGTTGTGTACCTGTGAGCCCTGGGTCGGTGCACCTGTGAGCCCTGGGTCTGTGTACCTGTGTGCACCTGGTCTGTGCACATGTGAGCCCTGGGTCTGTGCACCTGTGAGCACCTGGTCTGTGCACATGTGAGCCCTGGGTCTGTGCACCTGTGAGCACCTGGTCTGTGCACATGTGAGCCCTGGGTCTGTGCACCTGTGAGCCCAGGGTCTGTGCACATATGAGCCCTGGGTCTGTGCACCTGTGAGCCCTGGATCTGTGTACCTGTGAGCCCTGGGTCTGTGCACCTGTGAGCCCTGGGTCTGTGCACATGTGAGCCCTGGGTCTATGCACCTGTGAGCCCTGGATCTATGCACATGTGAGCCCTGGGTCTGTGCACCTGTGAGCCCTGGGTCTGTGCACATGTGAGCCCTGGGTCTGTGCACCTGTTGGGGGCACTGGAGTAAATCTCGCCCCTCTCTGGCCTCAGTTTCCTTATCTGGGAATGGAAACACTGAGCTCTAAGGGTTCAGTCCCTGGGAGCAACTGAGACCCTGCATGCATGGGACTTCCATGCAGCCGTGCCCCCGCCCCAGGCCCTGGCAGTGCCCCACCTCTGCAGGGCCGCCCCTCCCTCACCCTCTCCCATCCCCCACTCTGCCTCCTACCTCATATAATCAGGGAACCGGTCACTGAAGGAGGCCAGCCAGCCAGCCAGCGCCTCTTCAGCACGGTCCTCCTGGAGCTGGAAGATCTCCATGATGGGCTCCCGCAGGTCATCCAGGTCAGAGCCCTGCAGGGAGCGGCAGGTGGGTGAGCCAGGCCTGAGCTCTGTGTCCTCCCAGGAGGACCCTGCCCACCCCCAGGCCACACCCTGGGGCCACTACACAGTCCCCAACCAGCGCCGCCAGAGTGGTGTCCTGCCTGCCAGAGCTGGTGCTCCCGCCGATGTCATCTCTGCTCCCCACAGGCTGTCCTGGCCCCAACCCCACCTCCCCCAGCTTCGAAGCCCTGGCAATGCATGAAAGCAGGTGGCCCCAGTTCCCTGGCCCAGTCTGCTGTACGGGGCTTGAGGCCCAGCACTGGCGGGCCTAAGAGCTTGGATGGGGATGGCCAGCCCCAGGCCCAGGAGCCAAGGAGAAAGACAAGCGTCGGAAAGGGAGAACAGAGGTCCCCAACACCTGGACCCACCCAAGGGGGCTCACCCCGTGTTCCCTGAGGATGTTGCCCAGCTTGCAGGTGTCCATCTCCACCTGAGCTCTGAGGTCCCCCCACATCCTGGGTGCCAGCATCCTGAGGTGGGCAGAGAGGGCCTGAACATACTCCCCAAAGATCGCCGCGTGCAGACTTTTCACAAGGCTCTGCCCCACAGAGAGACAAGAAGACAGAAAGGTCAGAAGGACACGGTCCAGCTGGCCTTAGTGGGAAGGGCCACCCTCAGGGAAGGGCGATGGCAGGACGTCACACAAAGCCCTTTGCCTGACATAGCCCCTAAGAACTGGGTTTCAAGGGCAGCCCTACGTCAGCTTCTCAGGGGCATCTTCAGCGACTCACGCCAGTCACTCAGCGTCCTTGAGCCCCTCACGAGGCTGAGGCCAGTCAGGGTGGTTACGGGGCCCCTTCTCTGGCCCTGGAACTCCCCACTGGCAGGGGGATTTCCATACCCCTTTGAAAGCTAGGCCACATTTGGTGGGGTCAGGGTCCAAATGGCCATGCAGAGCTAACCCCCGAGAGGCCCGCTCTCTGCTTCCCCCTACCTGGTGCGTGGAGGTGGAGAGTATTTGGTGGCAGCCCTCAAGGCCCCGCCACAGGGACTGCAGAGCTCTGGCCAGATCCTCGTCCTTCCCCCCGAAGTGACCCCTCAGCACATTCTGAGGACAGAAGGGTCAAACGTCACTGCAGGCTGGCTGTGCCCACTCCTCTCCAGCCCTGCGGCCCTTCTTGGACCAGAGGGCCCACAGGAAGGGGGCCAGAGGCTTGGCCTCTGTCTTCCCCAAAGCTTGCCTCCTGCCAACTCCTGGGAGCATCCCAGATTCAACCTGCAGCTGTGGAGGTCCTCTGGGAGCCCTCCCCAGCCTTCCTGGGTCCCTCCCCTCTCCCCTTGGTCCCCACAGCACCGTGGCATGGCACCCCACTCCAGACCCCAGTGATGTCACTCTCCTGGGGTCTAAGCCCCAGAGACACAAGCAGGGGGACCCCCCACATACAGCCCTTCTGCCGCTCTGTGGGCACCAGAGGAGGGTGGGCATATGAGGCAGAATCAGTCTGCTCAGCATTTAGCTGGGGGCCCCAAGCAAGACACACCCCCGCTACAGCCCCTGGAGCCCCTTCGGGGGCCCCGCACAGCCTCGCCAGCACCACCTGGAAAACGTGACGCTGAGGGTGGTGGTGTGCTGTGGCCCCCGAGCGCAGTGGGGGGGGGCCCTCGGCCCCTGCCTCCCGCCCCTCCTCCTCACACACACCCCGACCCAGAGAGGACTGATCAGCAGTGCCAGCGTGCTCAGGGCTGGTGTGGCGCCTTCGCCCCTGGGAAGGGGATGGCCTTTCTGGGCCTTCCCCTCCGCCACGCTGAGCCAGGTGCTTGGATCTGGGTGGGGAATCCAGTGGCAGCTGCCTCAGAAGCTGGCCCCACAGTGGGAAATGGGGAGCAGCCTGTGAGGAGAGTGCCTAAACCCTGAATTTGAACTGGAACCCCCACCCACGATGTCCACCTCCTGGGAGGCCACCTTGCCCTGTCAAGGCTTCAGCTCCAGGGTTGGCCCTGGGCACCTACGGGGACCCCAGAACTCTGGGAGAGGACCTGCCTTGAAGGCAGCCACGGCTGAGGGGAGGCCAAGGCTGACAGCATGGAGGCCCCAGGGCACAGCGGAGGGGCTCTGCCTGCCTGTGGATGTAGGAAGGGAAGGGATGGGGCGCCGCTGGCCTGGCAGGATGGGCAGTTTCCTGGCCTGGCAGGATGGGCAGTTTCCCAGGTGGAGAGAGGGAGGGGCAGGTCTGGCCAAGGTGACAGGGGGACAGGAGTGTGGACCCTGCCCAGGGAGGTGCCCTCAGTGAGGACAGGGCCAGCAAGGCCTGCTTACCCCAGTCCCCTCCCCCATGCCAGATAGGAAGCTGACCCTGCTCTCTGTCCCCACCTCTCACCAAGATAAAGGGCCTAAGCGTGGGGAGGGCAGGAGGCCTGGCTGGGGACACCTCTGACCGGCTTCTGTTGCTGGCACTTCGCCATGTCCCACCCCAGGGCCCGAGGGCTGGGGGGTCACACCTGGCACAGGGCTCTGACTTGAAGCCAGAGGTGGTCCTGGCTGTGTTCTTCGATGGCCCTGATGACGCTTTGCATGTGTGTGCCCGGGTCCGCCGGCGTGTCATGCACCCTGCTCAGCCGCTCCCACGTTTCCCTGTTGGGGCAGCCAGAGGGGTCCATGGGGCCCGGCCAGCAGCCCCAGACCTGCCCAAGCTGGGGCCCCCCTGTGCACCTCAGGCAAGCTCACGCCCCTTGCTTTTGCTGTTGTCTGTTTCATCCCCACACTTTTTTCTAAATGTATTTATTTATGGAATAAGTGTTATATTCATGTGGATTAAAATGTGGGGGGACAGTGAGAAGACCTCCCCTGGTGGCAGCCAGCACTACTGGCACCTGGCCTTTTCCCCACAGAACTGTGGGGCTCTGTAGGCCCTAGAGGGGCGGAGGGCGCTTCCCCCCTCTTCTCACCGATGGACGCAGATCTGCCACCCACACAGCACGGCGCACAGAGCCCAGAGCCTGGCGCCCCAGCCCACCAGCTCAGTTGGCCCCCACCTGGGACGCACCTGAGGATGGAGCAGTTTCCCAGCACGTGCATCTGGGGGAAGGTATTGGTGTCCTTGTTCTGCTGGAGGATGACCTCAGCCTCAGCCTGGTACCTGCAGGTGGTGGCAGATATGCGGCCCCCGCCCAGCCGCAGTTCCACAAGGGACCCTTCCCGGTGGCCAAGGCACTTGCCTAGCACGCAGACTTGGGTAAGGTAGGCCCGCCCACAGGCCTCCCTATCTGGGCAGGGCCTACCTTTTCACTTACTTTTCCAGAAACTTTGAAAATGTTTCCAGAACCATGGCTTGAACCCTGCCAGTGATGGGCGATCCAATGTGTTGGACTGAATTCATGGTTTCTTTCAACAGCTGTCATTCAAAGCAAGCAGGCTCTGAGGGGGACCCCAGGCCAATCACCCAGCCAGCAGACACAGGGAGAATGTGGCCCCCCCAGCTTTGTGCCCATCACAGTTGTCCTTTGGGAAGGGCAGGCATGGAGAGGCCACCCCACACCGTCCTGCCGTGCCTGCCCACTGCAGACGGCAGGGAACAGATGCCTCGGCCCAGGTCCTCATGACCCCACCTGTCCCAGCCACCTGGCCAGGACTCTTTCCCTCCCACGCCCCACTGTGCCCTGCAATCACCAACCTGAGCAATATCCTTGTCACCACAAATGGCTGGGCTCCTCCTGATGGGCCCAGAGGCCACCCCAGCACACCCCCTCCAGAGCTGCCAACTCCCTACTTGATGCTCTGAAAAGGGCATCCTGGCATGATGGCCTTGAATGCTTCATGTCTCCACCACCTCCTTTCCTCTATCCCACCCTGAGTGGCCAAGACAAGCAGCAGAAACCCCCGGCCCCAGGTCCTTTAAACACTGCCCCCGCACTCACTCGGGGGCCTCTCCTCCTCCTGGGCCACATGTCCTTCACCCCTTCACCCTAATGGGCCACACAGCTGTCTCCTTGAGGCTTGGCTCCCACTGCCCATGCCCTGTCCCTGGTGCCCACGCAGGCCCTGAGGCCTTGGCAGCCAGTCTCATGACCGAGAGGTGCCAGGAAGACACCTCTTCTGGGAAGATGTGCTCTGCGCCCTGGCACTGGGGTCCCACCGCCCAGGGGCCAGGCCTCTGGCTGAGTGCCGTTTGCTCTCCCACTTGGCTCTGCCTGGCACTCTCCACCTCTAAGGGTGCCCCAACCTGTCCTTGCTCAAATGCCCAGGCCCCGCCACCACGCCCATCCCCTCCTCACTGGCCATGCCCCCAGCCACCCATCAGTCACAGAGCCCCTGCCCCCAGCACCGCTCATTTTCCAGGCCCCTCCCTCACCAGGCTGCGTACTCAGGAAGGGGCCAGGGACCCTGGCATGGGCTGGGGAGGTGCTGACCAGCACTTACCTGGAAGATGTCAAGGAACACTGGGCTAGGACTGTGGGCCCCCTTTTTCTGATCATGGCTCAGGATATTTTTTAGTCCTCTTTCCAACTTTTCCTGCTCAGAAGGCAATAAAAGCAGTTTCTGTCCCTATGCTCTTCTCCGGGGTGCATACAGGTCCAGCCCTTCTGCAGCTGAGGCTGGCATACCCCGCCTGGAGGAGACAGGGGTCAGGACTGCAGCCAGCCTGGGGGCCCCCGCTGGCCAGCAGCCTGAAAGCCCCTGCCCCCAGGGAGACCCCGGTCTGAGGGAACCCCTTTCTCTGTCCCTCCGTCTGTCCGGGGGTGTCCGTAAGCACTTCCCTAATGCTTCCTCCTCTCGGCTCCTCTCAGCTCCTCTCGGGCCACTGCATCTTGTCTTGTCATGACCCAGACACTCAACTGGGGACAGTGAGTAGCTACCACCCCTTGGGAAGCAGAGCCCTGTGCTGGTCAGAGCAGAGAGGGTGCCTGGGACCCACTCTGACCCCTCACCCCTCACCCCACCGCAAGACAAGGAGGCTTCTGGGCGCCAGATGCTCCTGAGTCCCTTTACCTGGATGAGCCCCACCAGCTTCTCCTGAATTTGCGACATCCAGTTAACAAAGACCACTGGGTCCAACAGGTTCCCTGCTCTGGGTGTCTGAGAGGTAGATGGTCCATTTAGAGGCATCTCCCTGCTGGACCGGAAGGAGCCAAGCTGGGGTGCGAGGGATGGCAGGGGGTGTTGGTGTGTAGAAGACAGCTCAGAGCTGAGGGTGGTAGACTCCAGGCCGGGCCCCAACACCCCCTGCACACAGGCCCAGGGGACTGGAGAGGGCAGCTGGATGACAAATGGCAGCACAAGTTCCCACTGGTGTAGACAAGTCTCAGTGGTCATACACAAGCATTGCCCGTGAACTCCCCATACACGTGTGCAAGCCCACCCTAACGCGCTTACACACCCCACCTCCCCTCCCACACCTGCATACACGTGCTGTCCCCAAAGCCAGTGAGACTGCCTTCCCCCAAACGCTCCTCCCACCCTGGGGGCCCTTCTAAAGGCCTAAATGTTGGCCACAGCCCTAGGCCTGAGGGCCCTCACCACCAGGCAGTGCCTCGGCCAGGATCCCAGCACCCCCAGGAGGACTCACCCCAGCTGCCCAAACAGGGTGACCTTGCCCCAGGTGTACAGCTTACAACAGCTTTCACAGCAGCAATTGGGGGAGCTTGCCAGCTGAGAGAGACGGCTGAGGAGGACATTCTGGAAGCACGTCCTGTAGGTGGCCCAGAAGTGGGTGCCCAGCTGGCCTGCCCTCTGGGACCCCAGGCCCTGTGCCGTGGCCTTGTCCAACTTCTCCAAGTATGGGCCCAGCTTGTCCTGAGGGCCCAGGGTGGGCACTCGGGCTTCAGCGTCGCGTCTCAGGAGCCCCTCCAGCTGCCTGCCCCAGGAAGTGACTCCACTGTCCCTGAGGACAGCAGCCTCCTGGCTCTCATCCTCCCTGGCCCACTCCACGGCGGCCATCACTGCCTGGAGCTTCGGCTCCAGCTCCTGACTGTGCCCGATGTCCCCCAGGGCCTGCTGGACAACCTGCCACATGTTCTGGGCTACAAGCTCATACTGCGGGCCGCAGTCCTCCTTATGCTGGGCCGACTCCAAGATGCTCAGGCAGGCTTCCCGGAACTGCCCCTCCTGGACCAGCTGTTGGAAGCCTGGAAGAAAGGGGTCCAAACGGCGGGCTCAGAGGGGCCTAGAAAGACGGAGACTGGGAGGGGGCACCTGCCCGTGCAGATTCTTCACTAATCCCAGCTCACAAGAGGGAGGGAGGGAGCCGAGCTGTCTGGGATGCACCCTTCAGGGGAACCGGCAGGAAGCCAAGGCAGCCAGTTAGAAGAGCCTTTGGGAGCAGGGGTCTACGTGGCCAGTCAGGCTCCGGAGGCCATACTTTTCTTACCATGCGACCCCTGGTAGGCTTCCCTCTGTTCCCTTTCTGAGTAGAACGGCACAGCACGCAGCTGGTGAGCCCAGGAGCTCAGGCGGCTAGTCACAATCTGTGCCTGCACCCTTAACCTGGACCCCAAGACAGCAGGCTTCCCCCTGAGGAGCACGGGGAGGAGGCCCAGAGGAGCTGGTGGGAAATGTCCCAGCACAACGGGGCTCAGCGTGAATATACACCTGGGCCCCCACAAGGCTCATTCCAGCCCAGGAAGGAATTTGCATTTCTGATAGGCTCCCGGGTGGTGCTGCCTGTGTGGGTCCTGGACCCCATGTGCAGAATGGCGGCTCTACCACTGAGTCAAAGGGCACCCATGCTCTGCCTCCTTGCACATTTGGAATCAACCAGATAGACACAGAGAAATGATAGGTGGATGATAGACATATTGATTGATTGGTTGATTGATAATAGGTGGATGATAGATAAATGACAGATCAATAAATGATAGAGATGATAGAGACAAGAGAGAGAGAGAGAGAGCTCAATCTTCCATAACACCATCCAGGAGGGGCGACCTCCCAGACCCACCCCGCTGTCACCTGTGAACCAGCTGACAACCCCACGCCAGTCACCATCCAGATCCGAGAAGGCAGCACCCAATCTGCGCATGATCCTGGGCTCCCTGCAATTTGGCAACTTCCCACAGACCTCATGAAAAACCTGAAGCGTTTTCTCTTCAGAAAAGCATTCCCTAGATTACAGACACACCAACCACTCCCGGAAAACCCACCCCTCCCAGAAGCCAGCTCTGGACAGAGCCCGAATGAAAGAGCAGCCCCAGCCTTGCCCCTGACTCAAGGCCATTCAGTGAGCTTCTCTGGGTACAGACCCCAGCATGTTGGGCCACAGGGACACAAACATGGATCAGACACAGACACCCCCACACCCACCCCACTGCTCTTCTCTCAGTCCTGCAGCCCCAGAGCCTTGGGCACAACCCAGCTCTGGTTACTTGAATTTGAATTTAGACCTCCTCAACTTGCTGAGCATCTCTGGGCAAGTGACTTGACTTCTCTGAGCCTCTGTTTTGTCAGCTTTGAAACAAGCTTCAAATGGTACTCCACAGGAGGTGCCTCTCACGGTGTGACGACTATTGGCTGGTACTACACTCGCTCCCTGGCATTGTGTCTCTGAGCCCCCCAGAGGCTCAGGCCCCAGCCGCAGCCCCATGACAGGCTACTGCGTCTTATCATGCCACCTGGTCCCCTCCAGGCCCTCAGCGTGACACTCATGGTCGGGGGAGCATGCAATGAACACTAAATGAGGCAGTGAAGAAGTGAGCAAAGGGACCGAGGAAGGAACGAGGACTCCTGGATAGAAGCGGAGAGGCACGCACCTCTGGAGGTTTCTTGCAGCTGAAAGTGCTTCACAGGTTTTTTTCCCCTGTGAAATGGCGTCGGCAGCTCCCAGCCTCTGCCTTTGCGCTCTCCTCTCGTGTGCTCTTGGGTCTCCCCAGCCAGCATTTGCAGGCTCTCACTGGCTACTTCCTCTTTCAGCCTGGATTTCTTCTTCGTTTCCCAGCAACTCATTTTGATTCGGTTCATCACCACGCAGCCACTGCCTTATAGCTCCCGGCCCCACAGGCTCCTGTGAGTGGCCTCTGAGCCGCTGGGCTCTTTATCCCGTCACTACCAAAGAAAAAAAATAAATGGGAGGGGACTGGGTGATGCGAAAGAAATTTCCTTTGCAGCTGAAAATGTGGACGTTAACACTTAGAAATTGCCAACTTTCACAGGATTTCCTCAAGCAAAAATGGGAGAGGCAGGTTCACTGTTTACCAGCCCAGGAATGTTTCCCTGACATCTTCCCTGGGTCAGCTGCTGAGCACAGCCCCCACAGTTAGGCCAGACCATGGGGAATGGACCACCAGCACCGCCACCCCACACTCCCCCCTGCTGCTGCTGTCAAAAAGTAACAAAGAACTCTTGTTTGGGATTTTTTTAAATCTGTCATTAAAGAAGAAATTACTCATAGCTATACTTTCTTTTTGTTAAATTGTGGTAGAACATACATACACAACATAAAATTTACCTTCTTAACCATTCTTAAGTGTACAGTTCAGTGTTGTTAAATAAAACACATTGCTGTGCACTCATCTCCAGATCTCTTTTCATCTTGCAAAACTGCAACTCTGTCCCCATTAAATTAGCTCCCCCCTCTGCCCCCAGCCTCTGGCACCAAGCACTCTGCTTTCTGTCTATGAATTTGACTCCTCTGTGGACCCCATTTGACAGGAATCATGCCATATTCATCCCTCTGCACCTGGTTTATTTAATTGGCATAATGTCCTCAAGGTTCATTCATGTTGTAACATGTGACAGAATTTCCTTCCTTTTTTAAAAAACATGAAACAATTGACTTTATTACCAATTCACTTTTTAAAAATCATTTTATTGTGATAAAATACACGTAACATAAAATTGACCATCTTAACCATTTTTAAGTGAACGTTTAGTGGGAGTAAGCACATTCACATTGTTGTGCAGACATCCCCATCATCATCTCCAGAATGTTCTCATCCTCCCAAAATGATGCTCTGTCCCCATGAACAACAACTTCCCGTCTCCCTCCCAGCCTCTGGCACCCACCATGCTACTTCCTGTTTGCGAGTTTGAGTCCTCTAAGGGCCTCATGTAAGTGGATCGAACAGGCTGTGTCCTGTGACTGGCTTATCTCACAGAGCATCATTAATTTAGCTGCTCCGAACGCAGTGTGCACATCTCTGTGCCAGTCCCTGCTTTCTCAGCGGCGTTTCTTTGGCACTGCCAACATTAGCACTATTGTGATTTCCCGCTCACCCGGGAAGCTCTTACTGGCCCATGTGGAAGAAACTGAAGCGAGCTCCCCGGGGGGCTCAGCATCACCCCGATCTGGAGCAGACTCTGGGTGTGCGTGGCAGGGCCCCAACACCGTCCTTTCCCGTGGGCAGCCTTGTCTTCCTGTGCCACTCTGACCTCACCTGCTGCCTCTGCCTAACGTGCCCAGCATTTACACTTAGACCTGCCTCAGCCCAGCCTGCAGGTCTTTAGCAATGAGCGAGTGCCCCCGGGCCGTGCTCGGGGTCTCCTTCGCAGACCCCCCCGGTATCCTGTGGTCCTGTCGCTGCTGTGATAGATCACCACAAACTCGGCAGCCTAAACCACACAACTTTATCATCCTATGGTTCTGGAGGTCAGAAGTCCAACTTGGGTCTCTTGGGGCCAAAATCACAGGTGGGGCTCCTGGAGGCTGCGGGAGAGAACCCGTTTCCTCCCTCTCATCTTCTACGTGAGCCTGCGCTCCCTTCCCCGTTTGCACGTCCAGTTATCAGGCCTGGCGCGCTGCACGGCAACCTCCGCTCCCCAACTGTTAAGGACCCTGTGAAGATGTGGGCCCCCCGCATAATCCAGGCTCCGTTCCAGGTCAAGGTGGGCTGGTCGGCAATGTTAATTCTGCCGGCATCCTATTGCCCTTTCCTGGGGGACCTAGCATGGACACGTGACGCCTCACGGGGTTGTGGGGGGCATTATTCTGTCTACTGCACACCCCTCAGCTGCAGCCTCGTCTCTCTACTCAACCCCGTGGGATGACCCGCGGAAGCACCGTCTCCACACTAGCCAGCCCACCCTTCCCAGCCTTCCTCCGACCTGGTCTGAAGGGTCCAGGTCTTTCTCTGTCCCGCTCCACAGCACATTCCCGTAGGCCTACTGTCAGGGGCTCGGTGCAGCATTCTGGACCGTTCCCATCTCCAGAACAGTGGCGAGGCTTCCCAGGCCTGCTCTGGCTTCCTCACGGCTCCCTGGGTCCTTAGGCACCTGCGCACGGGGTCAGTGTGCGCTCCGCGGGGACGCAGAGCTTATAGGACACACCGGGTTCGCCGAGGGTCTGGAATTGCCCTCCCAACCCCGTACTGTGATGGTCCCCGGGGTGCCGCAGAATAGGGTTTCCGCCCCATGCTGAGGGTTCTCACGAGTGATCTTCACTCCTCACAGTCCCGCGCGGTAGGCCCCAATTTGCAGATGCAGCAAGATGAGGAGATGCCTCGCGGCCCCACAGCTAGAAGGTACCAGAGCCGGGACACAAAGCCCACAGGCAGCCTCCTAGGCGGAAGGCTGGGGGTGCTCTGGACCCCTTGTTTTCCTGATCAGAGACTTTGGGACTTTGGGGATAAAGCATGCTGTGTCCAGAACCCAAACCAACAAGGCGCTCCGACGGCCTGAAGGGACATCTACGTGGATGTGTTTTCCCGTGAAGCGCCTGGAAGCAGGTGCTCAGGACGCGGTCAGATGGAAGGGGCGGCCCTGGGCGGCCCCTGCCTGTCCTGCCAGGGCCTGGCTGCTGGAATCCAGTAGGCGCCTGCGGTGCCATCAGCAGGGTGGCTCTGGATGTCAGCACCCCGGGAACAATTCCCTGGGAGTGGAAATGAGTGTTGCCGGGCGTCCCTAACGGGCTGAGGGGGCAGGACTGGGGGTCCTGCTGGGTCTGGCTGCTTTGGCACGCAGGCGCCCCTCCATTCCGGGTCTTCCCGCCCGCGGCACAGACAGGCAGGCGGCCTCGGCGGCCTCGGAGCCCCCTGAGCCCCACGTCCAGGGGACCCACAGGCACTGGCACCTTGCTGAGCCAGCAGGAGAGGACGGCGGGTGCGGGCTGTGAACCCGAGACCCAGCAGACCCACCAGCTGGGCTTGGGGGTCACACAAGAAGTCACTGCCCCACCCCCGCCCCCACCACAGCGCAGATGCCCGCTCGGGGCCTCCGGGGGAGAGGGGGCGGGTCTGCCCTGCTGGGGACGGGCCGAGCCCCAGGAAATCCCCCTGAAAGCCCCGTTTCCTCCTAAAGGAAGGTTTGGCGTTCAGTTTCGCTTTTACTCTAACTGTGGAGTTTCTCGGAAACCATGTGGAGGTTCTCACTTTTGTCGTTTCTGTCAAAACACATTTTTGTGGGTCAGCCCACTGAGCCCAGGGGCCCTGCCTTGCGAGCGGCCCAGGGGAGGGCGCGCCCCACCCCCGCCTCCGGGCCCCGGCGCCGCGGGCGTATTTCTCTGGCGCCTGCCGGCCTCCGGCAGCGGGGCCCCAGCCTCCCCGCTGCCCGCGCAGCCCCCCTCAGCGCCCCCGGGGCGTCTCAAAGTTCCCGCTCACCCTTCCTTCCACGTGAGATGGGCACAGCTTGGGACGGTCCCAGCGCCCATCCAGGGCCCGCAGCCCACGGGAAATGGCCCCCTCTGCCCGCGGGCGGGGGCCGGGGTCACCCCAGGGGGAGGGCAGCGTTCCGGATCGCGGAGACTTTAAGTGGACCCAGATCCAGCAATGCCACTACGAAAACTTACTGATCCGCACTCTGACGGGACGCAGGTTCGCTGCATAAACAGGGGGACCCCAGTGTCTTTGATAAAAGCCGAAGCCACACACAGGCTGAAACCACCAGGAGGAAGCAGCCAGACCAGTTGTTACAGTGGCCGGCACGCAGGGACGCCCGCAGCCCCGGACCGACGAGGCGAGCCCCTGGGACGCGCCTCGGCAAGCACGGCTTCCAGAAGCCGCCCTGGCTGCGCACCCGGCCCACCTGCACGGCCTTCAAGGCCCAGGTGCCCCACTCTCTGACCCTACCTCCAGCGTCACCTCTCCCTCTGACCGCATCCGGGAATGGTTCCTCTCTTGTAAGGACTCCTGCGATCCAGCAGGGCCACCTGTAGTCACATAGGCACTGTCCCTTTGCTGTGTCAGGAAACGTATTCCCAGGGTCCGGGGAGTAGGGTGGGAACATCTCTGGGGTGCCGTTAGCCTGCCCACCATGGGAACGTGCCCCCAAACCGCTCGTGGTGGGACATAGAGATGGCCCTCCTTCCCTCTTACGGTCGCATGGCACCCCCTTGTGAGGACAGACCATGGGTTACTCGGCCATTCCCCTTTGCTGCAAAATAAGAGGAAATCAGTCTTGAGCCCTCTGTAAGGTAAGCACAGTGGAATTTCAAACACATCTTTGGGTATTTGCCGGTTCCTGATTGTATAGTTAGAGTAGATATTTTTAGCAAATGCTGCATGGCTCCCTGACCAGTGGAGTAAGGGTTTTAGGGTTAGAAGAGCCCAAAAATTTTATGCTCAGTGAAATAAGCCAGGCAGAAAAAGACAAATACCATATGATTTCAAGTATTTGTGGAATATGAAAAAAAAGCAAAACAGCAGTAGACTCACAGAAACCAAGAAGTGACTGGTGGTCACCAAGGGGGAGCGGCAGGATGGGTGGGGGGACATAAGGGAGCACAATAATTCACAATCACAGTGTAAGTTGATCATAGGGACTGTTAAACCAATGTGGTGTACATCTTATGTTGGAAAACCAACATAAGACTGTATATTAATGACACTTTAATTTTTAAAAAATTAAAAATTAAAAAAAAAGGGGCCCTAATAGAGGCCAAAAATAAGACCACATGCCCAGGGAATCCCAGAGATCAAGCTGCTGTCAAAGGTAGGAACCTCACTCCTGTAGAACTCTGGACAGAGACAAGCCAGCCAGCCAGCCCGCAGGCCTGCCGTCCCACTTCTTCATACGAACCCTTCCTCCCAAACGCTATCCAATGGGCCTGTTCCCTCTCCCTTCCACAGTCAGCCTGATCCCAGGACCTGGGCAGTGCGGGTGCCCTGACCGGAGGCACCATGCTCACTCTCGCTCCCTTCCACGAGCACATTATCATGTGCACACGCGGTCCCCATCAGAGCTTGAGAGCACGCCCACAGACCCCACCCCCTCTCCACTCCCATGGCCACTGCAGGAGAGTCAGGAAGGAAGGGGTGGCTTGAGGAGGCTGGAACCCCAGACTCAGGAGTGAGGAGGGGGGATGGCCTCCTCCCGGGGCAAAACACACACAAATATCTCAAGAAAGATCCCTTTGCAGCAACACTGAGTAGAGCAGGCAGCTATTTTAACAGAGTTTAAATAAAACACCATATTGACAAGCTTGGTTATCTGGTCACCTAAGTTAGAAGGAAATCAACTCAGGAAATGATTTTAACAGAAACTCAGAAAAGATTCAACTCACCAGACTTTAAATTAAGACCAAAAAAAAAAAAAAGCTTATACAAACTCAACAATGAATGATACACACACACACCAGGAGGATTTATTCAAACCAACTAAATGGCAGGAGAAATGACAATGTGATCTCCAAAGAAGTAGAAAATCTAAACATCAGACTTATTACCAGATAACTCAATGATCAATAGTTATCATTATGCCTCCGAGTAATCAAAAAAAGAGAAGGTATAAATTATATTCTGCAAGGTATGTTTGAAGTAGACAAAGGTTACGGCAAATCACAAGGTCTTCCATCTAGACTGGAGCTTTGACTTCCTCGTAGCCTGGCGAGGGTCACTTTTCTGTTGGAAGACTCAGCTATCTCCTGCTCGCTCCCTGGTGGCGTCAGTCAAGGGGAAGACAACAGCAGGAAACGGAGCAGATGACTCCCAGGCCTGCCGCCCATGCTTCACTGGCAGGGTCCCCAGAACCGCTCAGGGCTTCTTTACACCCAGCTGTAGAATGGGGGAGGGGGGTGACAGGAGAACATGCCCTGGGGTATCTCCGAGCGACAGAAGTGATGGTTAATGGAAAGCAGGTCCTCCAGGCTCCAGAAAGCTCCGAGGGCCTCTCTGCAGAGCCCAGCTATGTGTTGCCACCTAGTGGCCATGGGTGGAAGTGTCCATGTTAGGCTTTCTGCCCACCCGGTGGCTGTCTTTGCCCAGATAAGACCCAGGTCTTGGAACTAAGGTCTTCCCCTCAGAAGAGAGGTGAGAGTCTGATCAACAGGGGAAATTTTCTGAGTTATATTTCAATAAGGCTCCAATTTTTTTCAAAACAAATTTCTTCCTCTCCAAAACAAACACAACACAGACACAAAACAAAACCAGACAGTGAAACAGAGAATGGCATGACAATGAATATCACAGCACCCAAGGGCGCCCTCACCACACATTAGGCACAGCTAAACACCTCTGTGGTATCTCACTTGTAATGCTCACAGCCACCTAGGACAGAGGCACTCCAATCCTCAGCAAATACACTCGCCCATGCCACAGGGTATGCCCCCAGACACATAGGAAATACAACTCCTGCAAGGCGTGGCTACTTTTGACAGTTTCTACTTAGGCTGACAGATTGAGCAATAAAAATACAAGACTCCCAGTCACAACTGACTTTCAGATAAATGACAAAGAGCTGATTGGCTTAAAGATGGCGGTGTGAGCTGTGAGACTAAAACCTCCTCCCAAAACCACATATATTATGAAAATATAGCAAATACAACTAATCCTGAAAGAGCAACAGGAAAGATTGCTGTGACAGACTGCCTACATCTGGGGAACAGAGCAGACTCATGGAAAAGGGTAAAGTACCAAAGCGGGGACCCAGAGGGACCTAAGCCCTTGCCCCACCCCAGCTCACCTGCAGGAGGAAGAGAAACGGAGTGGGGAGGGGGTAGAGGCCTAGAACTGCTGAATACCCAGCCCTGGAGATCTGCTCTGGGAGCACAAACCTACATTATATGGTGCACTGGAGATTAGTGGAGTCGGAAAGCTAAGACAGGTGGAATACTAGGAGAGACTGAGATTCCAGCCACTTACGCAGAACAGGCACCCACAACTGGAAGCTCTGGGACAAAAGAAAGGCAGGCACTATGAGAAATTTCCCAACAGTGAAAGGGCTGCTAAAGGGGCAAGGATTGCACAGAGCTTCCTGCTCAGGAGAAAGGATAGGTGGACAAATTGCCCTGGGCCACTCTGCTCAGCAGGTTGGGAACTTTCAGGAACTTCAGGTTTTCCATCCCCCTGGCTGGCAACACAGCTTCAAGGCCTCACATCATGATACCCAGCCTGCTGCTCCTTCCTCCCAGTCAGTACTGGCTCACAAACCTGCTTCCCCTGCCATTTCCCCAGGCCAACCAGAGAGTGGCCCCGCCTATGGCAGCTACAAGGGCATAGCATAGACACTCCTTCCTGCATGCCCAGCCAACAGGCTCTGGCAGTGGAGGCAGGCACTGCAGCTGGGAAGCAAGAAAGATCTCTTTCCTCCTGGCAAGCACCAGCACCACTCGCCTGCAACCCCCACCATCACTCCAGGGGCTGAGCAGCTCCAGAAAGTAGAGCTTCTGGGCACTAGAGGGTGCCACCTACAAATATGAAATATTAAGGAAACTGGTTCAAACCAATATGCCACAAACACCAGAAAAAGGACCTAGTGAAACTGAACTCACCAATATTCCTGAAAGATATTTCAAAATAAAAATCATGAACATGCTCATGGAGCTACAGAAAAATATTCAAGCTCTCAGGGAGGAATTCAAGAAACAGATAGAAACTTTGAAAAATACAGTATCCAAAATGAAACATACAATGGAGAAATTTAAAAGCAGATTAGAAGAAATAGAGGACAAGGTAAATGAAATGGAAATTAGAGAACAGGAATACAAAGAAGCTGAGGCACACAGAGAAAAAAGGATCTTTAGGAATGAAAGAATATTGAGAGAACTGTGTGAGCAATCCAAATGGAACAATATTTGCATTATAGGGGTACCAGAAGAGAAGAAGAGAGTAAAGGGGATAGAAAGCATCTTTGAGGAGGTAATTGCTGAAAAATTCCCCAGTCTGGGGAAGGAGATAGTCTCTCAGGCCATGGAAGTACACATGTCCCAACACAAGAGACCCAAGGAAGACAACACCAAGACATATAATAATTAAAATGGCAAAAATCAAGGATAAGGACAGATTATTAAAAACAGCTAGAGAGAGAAAATAGATCGCATACAAAGGAAAACCCATTTAGGCTATATCAGAGTTCTTAGCAGAAACCTTACAAGCCATAAGGGAGTGGCATGAT